GTCTTCTCTACCCCACCAGAAAATATCTTTATTTTGCTTTCTTTCTTAATTACTGTTTATACAAGGTAAATTTTATATTGTCTATGGTTTTTCACAGATACCATTTTATTGGCTTTCAACTTTTTTAGAAGTTAGTGGTTATTGTGTTATTTATTGTCTGTTTTTTAAATTTTCTATTTGTTTCTGCCCCAATTTCTTTCTTTTATCCTCTCTGATGATTAATTTTACTATATTGCTTTTTAGTTCCATTTAGTCACATTTTGTCCCATCACCTCAGATGGGGAACACATAAACGTATAGTAGATAATATATAATTGTATAATTATAATAGTTATAATAATACTAGTTAATATAATAACATATAGGCCGTAAATTATTATTTCCAACCTATTTTAACGCACCTGTGTCAATTTCATTAAAATATGTACAGAATTGAAAACTTGAATGTAATGGGGTAAATCAAGTTTTTGAGGGTCTGATTCACCTGTTTTCCAGTAGTTTTCACTTTTGATGCTTCTTTTATGATTTCTGTCTATGAACTTATATTTCTTGGTACTTTAACTATGGGACTGTTTAGAAGTGAACTTCCTTAGAGGTTGTTTGCTTTTATTTCTACCAGGCAACTGGAGACACTACAACTCTAGGACTTTGAGAAAATAAATTCTCATCGTACTTATTGTGAGTTAAGGCCATAGATCTATATAAAGGTGGGTTTGTTTTTATGAAATCTCAAGAGCATATTTTCTGTTCTATTAGCACCAAAGTTCAAGACAGGTAATTTTCCTTGTACTCCTCTGGGGCTACAGATGATTTTCTTAATTCACCCATACATTGGTGTTCAGTGCTTTGAGGTTTGAGTTTTATTGAAGAGCTGTGGACTTTGCCTTTTTGTCTTTTCTCACATTCCCCAGCCTCAGACTATGAAGTTTGAAGCTCAAGTTCATCCAGTTTAGCACTTGTATTTAACTTCCTCCTTTGAGATACTGTCCTTATTCTTTTTGGGCCTTATTCTTTTTCCAGCATTTAAGATGTTTTTCCCCACCCCTATTTTATTCAGCATTTTTGGTTGTTTCTTTGAAAGGGGATGCAGCAGTAATGGTACCTAGCTCTCTGAATACTAGAAGTAGAAGTCCTAATTGCCTTTTTTTTTTTAATTAGTTGCTCAAAACATTACAATGATCTTGTATATCATATATTGTACATGTGATTCAAATAGGGTATGAATTTTTATTTTTCCCACATGTACAGATTGCAGGATCACATTGGTTATACAGTCACGTTTATACATACTGCCATACTAGTGTCTGTTGTATTCTGCTGATTGCCTTTTGAACTCCCTATCACACAGTATTTACACAGTATTTTTGTGTCAACAGTACTTAATCTAGAATTATCATTTGATTAAGGTTATAATTTTAACTAATAATAAAATGTTTTCTTAGAATTAGTTACCTTCTTTTCTGAAAATAAAGACATCTGTGGTTCAGTTTTTAGGTCCAGTCATAAATCATACAAAGCTAACTTTAAAAAGTCTTTTACAAGATGATACAAATGGAATTTTGGTATTTTGGGCCATGAAAAGAGGAAGTGGGAGAAATAAGTAAAACAATAAGGGAGAATATTTTGTTACTTTATACTTTAATAAAATAAGAATATTGGCATTTTTGAAAAACTAGCATGGTGCTACAGCTGGCAACTACTACTGTGTTCTAGTATTTTTATTATTTTTTCAAATATATTATTGATTGTTAATTAACCACTAGGGGCCATGAAATCTAGATAACTTTTTTTTGGGGGGGGAGATACTTTATAAGTCAGTTTCTTCTTACTACTTGAAAGTGAGCTTAAATTATTTCTCCAGCCTTAATTTTCTACCAGAAGTTTCCTGAAGTAGGGAGATTTCAGTATAGTTTTTCAGTCTGTAGAGCATGAATGCAGTGACAGTGAATGTGTTTTGTTTTTTTGGTTTTTTTTCTTTCCTGGTAAGATGATGGAAGGCATACTAGAAGATTGCTTACAGATTATGTTAAAAAGTTTTTTTTGTGGCTGTGCATAGCTGATACTTCTGAAATGTTGTTAATTCAGAAGTTTTCATAGTAATCTAGATTTACAAGTACCAAAAGCAATTTGAGAAGGGTCTTCAAGATCATTGTAACTACTACCATGCTGAAATTGCAGTGTACTTAGGATGTCATTCTTTAAAGTATATTTTACTTTTAGCTCCAATAACATTGCACCTTTCAAAAGAACTTAGAGAAGGAATTGATCTTTGATGGTTCTTTGGGAGGAGGGGAGAAGGCTGAAAATAGATTTCTTCCTTCAGTTACACTTTTATATTCAGCTACAAGCTTAAAATAGGAAGCCTGGTCTTATTATAACTTTGCTGTCAGTAGCCAAATTAATTGTCTCAGAACAAACCAGTATGGATTATAGTTGGAAATTTAAGGATAAAGATGTTAGATACTATATCATGCCATTTACCATAACAGATTCTAGATGGATTACTTAGTTAAGTGAAAGGTTTTAACTATTAGATTAAGTATAGGAGAACATCTATGTATTGTTTGGGTGGAAAGAGTATTTCTAAGCATGGCACCCAAGGCAAAACTAATAAGGCTAATGCCAGACTTGGGGGGAGGCACCATATATGATGGAGAATTAATAATTAATACTCCTAATACATTAAATAATTCCTAAAGTCTGAAATTCGTAAGAAAATGAAACAGACATTATAAACTTTAATAATTCATATTTTCATACATGTACTTTGGATAATGATGTCCATCACATTTCACCATCACTGCTAACCCCCTGCCCCCTCTCTTCCCGCCCCCTTCTGCCCATTATTCCTCCCATGCTCCCCATCCCTACCCCACTATGAGTCAGTTACCTTATATCAGAGAAAACATTTGGCATTTGGTTTTTTGGGATTGGATAACTTCAGTTAGCATTATCTTCTACAACTCCATCCATTTACCTGCAAATGCCATGATTTTATTCTCTTTTATTGCTGAGTAATATTCCATTGTGTATATATGCCACATTTTTTTTAACCATTCATCTACTGAAGGGCATCTAGGTTGGTCCCACAGTTTAGCTATTGTGAATTACAATTGTAATAAGAATTGTAATGCATTCTGCTGTCATTTATTTAAAAAATAATTTCAATTAAAAAGACAAAAAAGAAAATTAAACAGACAAATTCCTTAAGCAAGCAGATTTTAAAATAAGGCAAAACCATAACAAAAAAGTTCAGTTTTATAGTCAAATAAATGCAAATTATAACCAAATGATATTGGTAAACTTTAAAAAGATAATAACCAGTATTGGGCAAGATTCTAAGAATGGGCTCTTCATAAAATTGTGGTATGATGTGGAATAACTTTTCTAAGGAGTAATTTGGTGGAAGGCATAAGTTTCTTAAAATTTAGTTCTATGACCTAACAAGTCTATGTCAAAAAATAATTAGATATATGTGAAAAAATGTATATTTAAGAATACCCTATGTAACTGTGTTTGTAGTATACTGAAAACGAAGGTAGTTTAATTTCTGGAGTGAGATTGTTCAAATAATGTATTATTCTTTCCTATAATGGGATATTATATGACTAGTGAAAAATTATATTATAAAGTACTTTAAAATTTATTTATTCATCAACAAATATTGAGCATCCAATGCACACTAGATGTATCTGGCAAGTCTCTGCCTTAATATATGATTAAAATATAGCATACATTAAGTGAAAAAAGAATATTACAAATCTGTATTTACATATATACTTAAGTTTATATTGTGTACTGAGAAATATTATTAGTCTATATTAAAATATCAGTAGTCATTCTAGATGGAAAGATTTCATGCTTGATTTATTTTCTTCACTTGTATATTTTCAAAAATTTAAATAAGAAAAATTATTATCAATAAAGGTGGCATGCCTGGAGAAAAATGAATATCTGATTTTCTTTTCTTTAATGAAAGGAAAACAAGACTAACACTGACAACTTGTGCCAGGTGTGTTTCCTCATTTCTTGTTAGAGCCCTTTATAGTAGTACTATCCTCCCATTTGTCTCTTAGAAGGCTCTGAGCAATTTTTGCTTGTCCAAAGTCACAAAGCTGGTAAGTGATGAAGCAGGACTCATCTCAATCTGTCTGACATCAAGTCCTATTTTCTTTTTTGTTACTGATCCTGTCTTGATTGAGTACATTTCTTGCTTTTTAAAAACAATCTGATATATTTCTTGGTAGTTCACTATATCTGAGTAAATGACAGAATTTTCTAGTTTAAAGAATTAAAGATTTTGAGTTTAGGATGACATTTACTATTTTAGTTTAAGGTGTTTGGTCAACTAGCGGCTATCTTGGCAGTGACTAAAAATTATTGAATCATGGAAAGGTAGAATTAGATTACTCTTACTAGCGATTAGTCTCCAAAACCTTGATTTTTTCAGGATAGCCTTAATTTTTGATAATTTTGTTTTACTTAAGTGATTTGATTATAAGTTTAACTAAAATCATTTAATTTTGAATCTAAGAATTTTCATTTCAGTTCACACTTAAAAATGCTGTCAGACCAGGTATTAACTTTTAATTAGGAAAGTATTTTCACCATATCATATTATTAAATCCTTTGGTTTTTCATCAGAAAAATGAGATGTGAGTTATATAATATTCTTTACTTTTTCAAATTATCCATAAACTCCATTTAGCCCCCCTCTCCCCCCTGCAAAAAAAAAAAAAAAAGAGAAAAGAAGAAAAAGAAAACATATAAATAAGTTAAGTAAAACCATGATGACTATTTTGAATAGTTTGGGCTCTGCAGAATGGTAAATAAGTTGGTTTTCTTCCAAAATTTGGCAATTGGAGTAACCATCCTGATTTTTTGTGAATATGGTTTCATTATACAGTGATATGAAATATTTATATTCTTTAGTGATACCTTTTATGTGTCAATGAAATATAAATGCTTATGATTTTTATAACTTTATTTTGGATATCTAGCTCACTGTTAATGAAGCAGCTGCCCAACTCTGTGTGAAAGATAATGCCCTGCTTACAAGAAGAGACGAACTTTTTGCTCTGGCTAGGCAGATTTCTCGAGAAGTCACCTATAAATATACTTACAGAACCACCAAGTAAGTGTTAACTAATTGGCGATATTTTTGCATTGCCTGATAGAAGTGGTTTGAAACACCATCCATTGATTGAATATAAGCATTTTTGAAAAGATGAAAGTGTGATTATGATGGTTTTTCAAAACACTATTGTTTAAAATTACTTTATAATTAAATTTAATCTTTTAACTTGCACATAAAAAGATAAAAATTGTGCATATTATGAAGTACCTTATGAACATTATGTTTAAATCAAGCATTTATCATTTTTTAATGATGAAAATATTTAAAATCATTTTATTTTTTGAAATACATAGTACATAATTGTTATTCATGTATTCATAATTGTGTGTATCACCCTACTGTGTAAATACACACCAGAACTTTTTTCTTCTAACAAAGTGATTTTTGTTGTTTTGTTTAATTCTCCTCTTGTCTTCCTTTCTTTTGAAAGACATAGTTTCCCGGTATGTTAATGTTGTTCTTACAGGTAGTTTAAACATTTTTCTCATATTTATTTTGGGTTTGGGGATGTTGATGCAATTCAGAAAAACTTTTTAGACTTATTTGCATACCTACAACTACATGAACTTTTTGAACTCTCTGAGGAAACACAGTGATTCCTTTTGCAAGGTGCTTGCAGTCTTGAGATTGCCTGAATGTAAAAAAAGACGATAGGCTAGTATTTTAAGGGAGATACTTTTAACAAATTGAATATAAAATGTGAGTTTGAAATAAAAAACAAAGTTGAAAAGAATGATGATTTCAAAATTTATTGTAAACACGCCATATTCTTCTTTATCTTATCTTCACTTTAGTCTCTAAGCATTGTCTGTAGGTGTAGGATCATTTTTATTTTGTTCACTTGGTACTGCCAGTTCATTGTTTGCTTGTCTCTGTGGATGCAAATGAACACTTGTATTAGAGTAACTCTGGTTGTTTGTTAAATTCACATCCTGAACACCCTTCCCAGCCTTAATAAATCAATCTGTGGAGATGGATCCTTGGAATTTTAAATTTTTACAGGTATTGCAAATGATTATTGTACATACTGAAGTTTGAAGTTTACTACTATATTATAGGCATTTGCTATCATTTACCATTGTTTTCTCAAACTCACAGTGGCTTCATTTTCTGGGCATCTACATATTTGCCAACATATAGTAAGTAAAATTATATAGAGTAACAGGATAAGAATATACAGCAATATGGGATTATTTCCAAGATTTTTTTTGAAGTTGGATAATCAAAAACTGATTTTAGTGATTTTTCATTTTCAGTGCTGCATTATACAAAACTTCGAGTATTTTATTTAGATGATTTTCTTTAATCAAAATAATACATATATATGATGTAAGAAGTCATATAGTACACAAGGTTTATCATGAAACAACAGTTCCTATCCTCTGCCACCTTCCCATTTCATGCCATAGAAGCAACTGCCTTCAATAATGTTAGCTGTTTTTTGTATATTTTTAAGTTAAATCTATTTTATTTTACTTTTTTCTTAAATATTTATTTTTTAGTTTTAGGTGGACACATTATCTTTATTTTTTATTTTTATGTGGTGTTGAGGATCGAACCCGGCATCCCGCGCATGCCAGGCAAGTGCGCTACTGCTTGAACCACATCCTCAGCCCAAGTTAAATCTATTTTAAATATATTAATACTTTAATATAATTTAGAAGCCCAAACTATAAAAAAAATAGTAACAAAAAGATTCACTTCCATTCCTGACTCTTACTCTATTCTAACCTTCCCCAATCTAGGAATTTTAATTGTTTTATTTTCATCCTTCCAGTTTGTTTATGCATTTGTAAACAAATACAAGTAATGCTATCTTTTCACCTCTTTTTTTTTTAAATAAAAGCATATATCTATAATGTTCTTTATTTTGCCTTTATTTAACTTAAGAGAACTGTCTATATTAGTACATACATACACACACACACATATATTCCTTATTTTTTACAGCTGTAGGCATTAATTATGTGAATGTACCATTTAATTGGTCCAGTGCCCTACTAATGTACACTTGAGTTGTTTTTGGTCTTCTTTTATTAGAAATAATAACATTATAACACCATACATATTTTGTTGATTGTGAAATATATTTTTTTCACGTTTTCACATCTTTTATATTAAGGTATTAACAGTTGAAGACTATTCATAGTTTAGTTGGCAAGAATATTTCAGGGTGGTATATGAAATAATTGTGTATCCTAGAATTGAAGAAGTGACATTTCATATATGTGTTTCTACCTCTGGGATAGATTCCCAGCAGAGAGATTTCTGAGTTAAGAGTAAGTACATCTGGGCGGCCCGAGTTCGATCCTCAGCACCACATACCAACGAAGATGTTGTGTCCGCCGAGAACTAAAAAATAAATATTAAAAAAAAAAATTCTCTCTCTCTCTCTCTCTCTCTCTCTCTCTCTTAAGTATATCTGTAGTGTCGGTAGGTAAACAAAATGCACTTTAATCTCATATAACTTTAAGCATTCATCTTAAATGGTCATTTTTTTTCTTTAATTATTTGTACTGAGTCATAAAAGGATATCTTCTATTTTTAAAAAAATTTTGGTATATAATCATCATGAAATATTTTTTGAGTGCTTTTTCTGTATACATGTATACATTTTATACTTGAAATGTGAAATTAATAATGGTGTCTATATAGTCTCAATATTAATTTGAAAATGATGAAAAATCTTTTTTTCATTATTTGAATGTTTGATATAAGTATGTAATTTCTTATATTGGGGCTTCAAGATTATGTGTTTTGGGAGAAGGTTCTAGACTAAGATGCCTTAGGAATGAAATTTCTTACTTTCTGAAGTTTTTCTCTTCTCTCCCCTTCCCCTTAGGTCAAAATGTGGTGAAAGAGATGAATTATCCCCAAAGAGAATTAAAGTAGAGGTATGGTTACATGTAATGTTTTCAAATACTATTAATGTTTACTTTTGTTTTAAGATGCTTAAAAATAAGAGTTTTACTAGTTCAGACTCCCCCCCCAAAAAAAAAAGTTGGTTCCAAAATAATGCACTGAAAAACAATATATAATTTTGTTACTCTGAAGTATCTACAGTATTTTGAACTAGCAAACCAAGCAAATTTTTAAAAGGAGACTATATTGTCTACATTGATGTCCATTCAGTTTATCAGAGGATGCAAAAAAATTGTGTCTTACAAATTTAAAACTCTTTGTGGGTTAAACAATTACTTTTATAATCTTCCTTATATCATTAGTCATCAAATACATTCAGAAGAGCTGACCTTTTAGTTTTTTTATATTAACTATCTGAGGAAAATAATTCAGTAGTTGCAAATCATAGAAACTTTACTATAACTAATGGCTTTTGTAAAGGACCATGGTTGAGACTTCTTATTTTAGACTTGCAAGTAGTAAGGCGGGAATTAAGCAACAAGAATGTATTTTCTTCTTAGGGCTCTCAGAAATATAGAATGGTTTCGGAACTATTTTTCTGAAAATCTAGTCTATAGCAGAATGGAAATTTGAAGTCAGATGGCTCCGTCTTTCTTTTTTATGGGATTTTGTGCACTCTTAGCCATCATATTTTAATTTCAAGTTAAAGCAAGTGAGTTATGCTTGACTGCCCTAAATTTCTATCATAACCTAATATTTTTATGGCAATGATCCTTTATTTATATCAAAGCCAGAATTATTCTATAAAAACATGCATTTCTCTCTTGCTTAAATCTCCCCAGTGGCTTTCTCATGTATTTAGAATAAAATCTAAACTATTCTGGAGGTGTCTAAGATCCTATATGATCTGACTCTAGCTTGCTTCTCTTACTATGTTTGCTTCTATATTTTTCTACTCTCTCTTGTGTTCTAGCTATGCTGATCGCTGTTGTGTTCCTGGATTGTGCCAATCTGTTTGTGTTTCAGCACTCTCCTTTGTCTTGCCTCGTTATTTTCTCTAAGCAGCTGTATGTTGCATCTGAGTTTCTACTGACTTCCCTGCCTCCTTTTCTGAAGGGGTTCCTGAACTGCAAAAATCATACTCAGGCTATTATGGGTTTTTTGCTGGCTTTCATAGCACTTAACTACTGTTTGGTGGAATGGTTACGTGTTTGTGTTTAATATAGTATCATTTGTGTCATTGGATGAGAACAGGGCTCTTTCTTGTGTGTCCACTACGTATACTCAGTTTGCAACAATGCCTTGCACTTAATAAAATCTGTTGGATGAAATAATGAATAGCTGTGGACAAGCACCTTCAATTCCTAAAAACTATCTTAAAGCAATAGTTCACAAAAAAGGGAAGTATTTTGTTCCCCAAAGGGCACGTCTTTTAAAAAGTTGTTTTCATGCTTGTCATGTATTCACTGTTAGCTGTGGAATAATGTTTAAGACGAATTAATCTCAAATACCTGTCAGAAAATTTGTTGAAATTGTCTAAAAGATTACATTGAAAGATAGTCTAACCAGTGTAACAGTTTTATCCTATTGCACCCTGGGATGAGAGTTAAGAGATCTCTGTGCACTTAGCTGTTAATGACTTATTGTGCTGTCAGAGAAGGAAGGTGAACATAGTAAACTTGTTGCTGCTAAGGTCTGTGCCGTCGGAGAATTTAAAGGAAGGAAGTATTAATCCTACTTAGTGGCCAGGAAGAATAATCATCTGCTAGACTAGAAATACATCTACATCACTTTTTTAGTTTTGACCTTCAGTGTGATTGTGATTCAGGCTGCTCTCACACTTAAGCCCTGCTTTCCCTTTTTATCTAGCCATAGAGATCATTACTGAACACTGAAATTTGTAGTTTTGAATGGTTTAAGCTGCTTTTTTTTTAGTTGTTGATGAATCTTTATTTTATTTATTTCTATGAGGTGCTGAGGATTGAACCCAATGTCTCACACATGCTAGGCAAGTGCTCTACCACTGTGCTACAACCCCAGCCCTGCTGTTTTTATTTGACTGTATTTAGTCTTATTCTCTTAGCAGCCCTGATCTGAAATTTAAGCAAATGGTTTCTTGCAGTGTTTTGAGTTTCTTATTAGAACTCGAGAGTGTTGGGTTATAGCATTAAATGTGAACCTTCTATTTCTTTGAAACATTCTACTAGAGACCATTCAGAAATCATTACATATGATGTTTGTTGTTTTATTAGAGTTCACAAAGCCACTTGAACAGTTCTGGATTCAAATTTAAATAATCAGTGTTTCCTTTTCCTGTGAATAACAATTCTATTTCTTCCTAAATAAGACATGTAACTAATCAGTAGCAAACTTCTTGCATTCTTCTATAAACACTGTACTCTTGATTTTGTTTCCAACATATAAAGGCTTTAGCTTTGAATTTAGGACAGTGATTCACTTTTAGTTGTAGTTTTGTTTTTTTTGGTTTTTTTTTTTTTTTTTGTTGTTGTTGTTGTTTTTTTGAGAGAGAGAGAATTTTTTTTTAATATTTATTTTTTAGTTTTCAGCAGACACAACATCTTTGTTTGTATGTGGTGCTGAGGATCGAACTCAGGCCGCACGCATGCCAGGCAAGCGTGCTACCACTTGAGCTACATCCCCAGCTCCATGTAGTTTTGTTTTTGCCTAGTTTTTCAAAAGAATTTATGAGTCATCAATATCTCTTTAAAAGTGTCTTTTGTGTGTGTGTGTGTGTGTGTGTGTGTGTGTGTGTGTGTATAACATATATAGTGTAATCTTTTTCAAAATGTGCAGTCTTGGTTTAAACCCTTGTCTAAATTCTGTTGCAATGTCATCTGAGAGTTTTAGGTACTAGAGTTGATCATTTGATTCTGGAAGCTAATAATGAGGTGTAGCTAGTGTTGGCTATAAAGGTTTCTACTGTTTTATGACTTCTCACTGAATGTGACTGGTTTATTTATGTCTATCTCCTAAGTGACTAATGAGGAAAAGGAAACTTTCTGACATGAGAAGGGATATGTGTAGGGTTTTACTGAAGAGGTATTTGAACTGGGTTTTAAAGGGACAGAGGATTTAAGAAGTTAGGGATACCCTTGGGGGTTTGGGGTAGTGTTAACACCAAAGGTAAACTTAAACTATCATGGACAATATACAGAGGTAAGAAAATACTAGGTATGTTTAGAGACAATAAGTAGAATAGTTTGTTTAGATGTGTAATTGACATAGGGTACCACATAAATAAAACTAGAAAAATTTTAGAACTTTTGAAATACTTTTACTCTTATTTCATTTTACTGCTCGTTTTTGATTCTCAGCTTATTATTATTTTTTAAAGAAAGTAATATGACAGATTCCTAATTACTAGGTCCAAATTGAAACAAGTTCTTCTATAATCTGTCAACAACCAGTAAACATACATGCCAAGTTGCTCATTTTTTCATCTTAAAAAGATAATTTTTGCAGTAAACAAAAATAAATTCATTGTTCAGTAGGTAAAATAGAAATGATATCAAAATAATATATATGAGAAAAAGAAACATTTTCTTGCTTGCTATTATCAGTGCATTAAAGTACACAAGTAAAAGTAATGTATTGTTCAAGTTCAGTATGATCTTTCCTTGTTATATTTCCCTGGTCTGTACTTGAAGAGTTGGATGGAGTGAAGCTTTAAAAATACTTCTCTGATTTTTCTTCCTGGAAAGCACTTATGTTGTATGTTTTTCTCTCTTGAGGACAGCTACTGTTTGATTTTTGTCTTTTTAATATTAGTATGAAATATTAGTATATATTGTATAGAAGTACTCAGGATAACCTGTTGTCCTTAAATACTACTCTTCCTTACAGGGTATTTTAGACATTTTAAAAAATAGAGTCTTTGATCTTTATTTCTTTAATTCCTATAGTAAATGAGATAGCCACAAAGGAGAGAGGAGAAAAAAAAAAAAAGATAGCCTGCTAGCTTATGTAGGGTTTATGGAAACTACCACTTGTAGGGAACTTCTAGGGAAAGTACCTCTTCATCCTTATGTGTTAGTTACTAAGGCTTGGGAACACTTCTGCCCAGAATAGATGAGCAGCTTGTGTGAATCCATTTTAAGCCTAACTGAAAACAAAGTATGTGTATTCTTATTCTTTTTTATCAGGGACTCCAAATCTTGTTGTGGGGCAATTATAAAAACAATTACTTTTTATTCACTGTTATGTGCCATGTTCTGCTAGGCATTGAAGTTTATTATCACAAAACTTCTTTTCTGTCCTCTGTAAAAGCTTTATGATTTTTCATTTTATAGCCAATACTGACCCAGAAAGGTCCAGTTGCCCAAGTTGTCACCTTGCTATCCAGTAGCAGAATTAGGGTTTCCAAACTTTGTTTCACTTATCAACTTCAAAGGAAAGCTACCTTTCTAGTTAATAATGAGTATTCTCAAAGTACCTCAGGTATGCAAAAAAACACTATTGAGTTTGGACCTGTCTAGGGTATGAAGGGCAAGTACATATAGAGGACTAGTGGTCTCTGAAGAAGAGGAGGAATGGCAGTTATTATTTTCTAATCCAGGGAAGCTTATGTAGTAAACATCTGTAAGTTTTGAGTGGAAAATTTTAACAATGTAAATGACAAAATGCATTATATATAAGCTATATGATTTGCTCATTGTTTAGAATGAATAAAAACTGTGTTAGGAAGATATAGTAGATCAAGAAAAAATAGTCCAATTGATTTATACACTCCCTATGACAGGACATTTTTAAGATGGCTTGGCAGCTAGTTAAAGGAATAAAAAATGAAGAGCCAGAGACCATGACTCTCTTTTTTTATTCTAAATTTTTAAAAATTTTAGTTAAAAGTAGATTTAGTTGGTGCATTTTTCAATAACAAGTTCCATGAATAAACTCATTACCTCCAGTTTTTCAAGGAGCATCTTAGAAGGGATGAATGGTATGTAAAGCCACCAGTCTCAGGACTGGTGATGGCAGCTGACTAAATGAACTAATACTTGGTTCATATCTCTTC